AGCACTCTTCCCCCAAAGCCCCAACCCCACAGAGCAGCATCCTGCTCTGTCCCAGGATGAGGAAGGGGCTGATGGGAGCATGAACTAGGATAAGGCAGCAGGGGTGGACAAGGGGATTGGGTTAGAATGTCCTCAGGAGGAGAAGCGTCAAGAAGGAAGCACAGGAGGATGCTGGGAGATGGGGAAGTAAGAGGAATTAGGAAACATCTTTTTTTCAGCCTGGTAACTTGGTGCTGGTCTTAGTCACTGAGGATAGGGAAATAGGGGAAGATGATTCTAGAAAAAGAACACGTGTAGTTGACGCAGTTAAACTGCACACATGGAGTTGGAGGGGCCTAAGAGATTTCCAGGAGGTGGCAGATATTTGGATATAAAAAGTTCTGAGGGGCCGGCCTGGTGGCGCACTGCTACAGTGCGCTGCTTGGGAGTGTGGTGGCGCTCCCGCCGAGGGTTCGGATCCCACATACAGTCCAGTTCCTGCTCACTGGCTGAGCGAGGTGTGGGCGCGACACCGAGGGTTGCGATCCCGTTGCCGGTCCTGGGCCGGTACGGGCGCGACACTGAGGGTTGCGATCCGTTGCTGGACACGAAAAAAGACAAAAAGGGGGGGGGAAAAAAGTTCTGAGGTTCAGGCTAGAGAGAGATTTAGGAATCGTTAGCTTACAGGTCACTGATGAGGCGAAGAGACAACATGGCACCACCCCACAAGCATGTGTGGACAAAAAGGGAGGGAGAGGAGGCAGGGCTAGCAGCGGGGAGCCTCTGGCATTCACAAATGGGCAGAGATAGCAGGAGCTTCCAAAAAGGAGCCTGAGGCTGAGCCATTTAGGGAAAGGAGATGGGAGGGGTTCCTCAAATCAAGGGGCTGGGGAGCAGTGGCAGGGTGCACGGGTGGGCCACCACGAGGCCATCAGTGACCTTGGTGGGGGACATCTGGGTCAGGGGAGGCAGGGCCAGATGCTTGTGTGGCAAGGAGTAAATGAGGGGTGGATAAACGGAGACGCCCACGTAGACCTGCTCACTGAGTGCATAGCGGGGCTGGAACACCATGGTGAAGCAGGCAGAAGAGACCCTTGTATCAGGACCTCCAGGCCAGCACCTCCCGTTCCCCCAGCCTTGCTTCTCCCATAGTGTGTATCACCCCCAAACAGTCTACATCACAAAGATGTGTGCGTATTGTCAGTCTCCCCTCTAGACTGGAAGGCCCACAAGGGCAGAGAACAGCCTGTTGGTTCACTGATGTATCCCAATGCCCAGAGCTGCTCCTGGCATGTGTAGGCACCTGACAGATCATTGTTGAATGAATGGTGAACTGAAGACCAAGGGCCTGCAACGCAGTGTTTTCATCATGACACCACTTGGCATGAGTGCAGGGGCAGTTCTCACCTGACATATTGATTTTATTTTTAATAACTTAATAACTAGAAGGGAGAGACAAGTGGTATGTGTTGTTTCCCATGTGTCAGCCACTTTATAATTAATTCATTTAATTCTAACATCAGTCCCATCTGAAGTGGAGGCACAGAGAGGTCAATGCACTGAACAGATCTATTCATTGGAGAGGAATTGTCTGAGGTCACACCAGAGCCATATTTGAACCCAGGTCTCTCAAATGCCAAATTTCACGCTTAATCCACTCAGCCACAGGCCATTTGGGATGACATTGAAGCCCTTTGCAATCTCTCACTGTTTCCCAGGGGCTCCAACTTTCTTTAGGACATGTTATGGCAGTCCTTTATAAACATACAAGCAAGACTTGCCAGTTCTAGATAGCCCCTTAAGTAGTGCCTGCCTGTAACAAACCCACTGTGTGAGGCAGATCTGGCCTGTAATTACAGCTCCTGGAAGTCAGCGCTTGCAGTCACATGGTGGCCCCAGCTGCCCCCTCCTCACCCCCCACTGACTCTCTAATTAAACTAGCAACAGCATCTGTGCTCTGGTCCTCGCCAAGAATGGAGAGATATGGGTTCCAGGTCTTGCTGAAAATGTGCCCCTTCACATTGCCTTGTGCCCTGTGGGGCTTGTCCACACTCTGGCCATCTCCAAAATACTGACCAGTCAACAAGACCACTCCCAACTAGCCACTCAGATCTCCTTTAAATGTGGAACTCTGTTCTCAGTCTCGGGGAAGCATAAACTAGGACCCTAGTTTAGCAAGAGGGAGCTTTCTTCTATGAAGACAGATGCACATAGCATTTTTTGATGTTTACCTCTTTTAATAAAGTGGTTTGGGGTCTTGTGTTCATCCTTCAGTTCGGTTTTCTAATTGAAGCCATTGAAACCCATGAATAATAAAAATAGATCTCTTTTATTAAATGCTGTATGTCAGACTTTGAGCTAGGTACTTTAAGAAGTTGTTTCTATATTCAAAACAACACTGTGAGGTAGATTTCAATTAACTCCATTTTGCCTGTGAGGAACCTTAGGATCGGAGAGGTTAAGTGACTTGCCCAAAGTCACACACACAGCTGGCAAATGCAAGAGATGGGATCCAAACTTGGGTTGCTGAGTCCAGGCCCTTGATCCTAGCACTGAGCCCTGCTGGCTCCTCTTATCTGGCATCCACAAAAAAGCAGCCACGACTTGCAGCAGACCACTTTGCAGATGGCTGTTTTGTTCTTCATGGGAGGTAAAAACAGGGCTGTGTCAATACCATCATGCCCATTTTAAAGATATAAGGTTAAGAGAGAGGTAAAATGTCTTTTCCAAGGTCCCCCCAAATTTGGCAGTTGGCACTTGAACCCTAAATTTTGACTCCAAACTCAGTGGTCTTTTCACTGCTCTGGGTTAAGTACCCCGAAGGCAGACTTTCCATCCTGCCGTTTGCTGAGGTTCCCGTGTCCACAGCTCTAATGTGAGGTCATGGTTAAGTTACAGTAAGACCCGGGACTCAGTCCCAGCTTGTACTTTCTACATGTGTGATGCTAAACCAGCCATGTAGATTCTCTCGGCCTCAGCATGCTGGTTTGTAAGATGGGATAATGTGATGCCTACTTTGCATGGTCATTTGGATGCTTCATTAAAACACACCTGTGAAATGTTTAGGACAAAGTATGGAAATAATAGGAGGTATACAAATGGTTACTAGTATCGTTTTCATTATGAAATATTTCAAACACAAAAGGACAGAGAATATTATAATGCAGTTTTTTGCCTTAATTGTTAGTAGGTTGTGAAGTCAACATAATAGATTGCAGGTAAGCATTTTTTGAGTAGATTAGATTAGAACGGAATAGAATAGAATGGAAACTATCAGGAGTATTGTATACAGTAAGATAAAATAGTATGCAGGTTATTCATGCACGTTCTTTCAGATCTGAGAGTGAGAGTGTGTGTGTATTCAACATGTACAGAATATCTTTCTTACATGATCATGGTCAAAAACATTTGAAAGGCGCTAGTATGATGTATTCAAAACACAGATTTAACAGATATTAATATGTTGTAATATTTGCTTCAGACTTATTTTCCAAGAAATGTAGTAGATGGAACTAAGACAACGCCCTCTTTGTACGCTCTCCCTGCATCAGCCCTCGGTCTCCTCTGAAGCTGGCCTGGAGCCGCCAGCGGATGTGTCTTTGATCAGTTATTCCACCGACCTGGTCCAGTCTGTCCTCGTTAAGCCAGGCTGCAAGGCAGCCCATGCCGTGAAGAGAGAATGTCCTCACCCAGGAGGGGCTGTTTACTGATCATACCCAGTCCTCGAATTCTAATCAAAGGTCCCGTGTGCTTGGAAATGTTTAGAGAAGCAATTTAAACACACTAGGGTGTGCTGATAAGCACGTTTCACTGTTTACATAAGATCCTGAAAATATGTAAGCACATATCATAGGGCGGTGCCGGGGCCGAGGAGTCTGGGCCTCACACGCTCAGCATTCCTGACACTCTGCTGCCCTTGTCTTCAGAAATGGGGAAACTGAGTCCTGGGGGAAGGAAATGGTCTGCCCCAGACTCCCACAGTGCAGACAGCAGCAAAGCCAGGGCAGGAAGGGAAGGATGAGGAAGGGAGGACAGAGGGAGTTGAGAGAGAGGAAGGGAGGGAAGGAGAAGGAAAGAAGGGAGGGAGGGGGAAAGAAAGAAGGAAGGAAGGAGGAAAGAAAAAAAGAAGGAAAGAAGGAAGAAAGGAAGGAAGGAGAGAAAGAAAAAGGAAGAAAGAAAGGGAAAGGAAGGGCAGGGGAGGGAGGAAGAAGGAAGGAAAGATAAAGACAGAGAGACAGACAGGTGGAGAGACAGGTAGAGAGAGAAACAGAGGGTGAGAGCGCAAGTCGTTCCCATCTGGGACGCATCCCCCAGGCAGCAGCGTACACCTTCCTGACCGTAGTGTGTAAAACAGCCCCTGGCCCCAGCCTTCTCTGCCTCATTTTCCTCCACAGCCCCTGCTGCCTGATGAACTGTACATCTGTTTGCTTGTTTTCCATCTCCACCCACTAGGGCATGAGCCCCATGAGACAGGGAGCTTGACCCATGCTCACAGCCATCTTCCCAGGCCCGGCTGGCAGTGGGCCCTGGGGGCAGGGGACGTGTGTCTGCACGAGAGCGCACATAAAGCATCCCGAGCGTGATGACTGAGCTCTCCTGACCACACCGGAGCACTGGCACTCGTGAGCTGGCTGAGAGCAGCCCGGGGGCGTGATCTGTTAACAGGGTGCTACCATGGCCCACATTGATTGAGCATTTCTTAAGTGCCAGGTACCATTTTAAGCCCTTCACGTGGATCAGCCCTTTCAGTCCTTCTCGTATCCCCACATGGAAGGTGCTCCCATTTAAGATGGGAGAGGAAGGCACAGAAGGGTATAGCCATTTGTTTAAGGTCACACAGCTAGGATGAGGCAGAGCTGGGATTCAAACCCAAGTAGTCTGGCTCCACGTGCCCATGCACTTAATGCCACGTTCCTCTGCTTCCCAGAGAGAAGATTCTAGAACAAGCGTTTGAGGGACTCACTTGGGAATCCCCTTCAGAATCTGACTGGGGAACTTCATGTCTTTTTTCTTTTTGTTAGCAATTTGAGGAAAGTCAAGGCCGGACCAGTAGCAAAACAGCCTTTTACCAGGCGCTGCAGAATTCCCTGGGTGGCGAGGACTCAGATGCAGGTGTCCTGGCTGCCGCCACGTGGTATTACTCCCTGGAACACTCCACGGATGACTACGCCTCCTTCTCCCGGGCTCTGGAGAATGCCACCCGGTAAGCCACGCTGGGAGAGCATGCCAGGATCACGAATGAGAAGTGCAGTCATGTGACTTCGTGCTTGCAGTCTGCTCTGCTTCATTCATTCAACCTGGGGTGACCACCCGCTGAGGGAAAGCCCTGGGGAACATGTGGGATGTCCTCAGCTCTTCCTAGGCAGTGCAGGAGCCACGGGAGGGCAGAGACAAAGCCCTCTCCAGGGGCGCTGTTGTACACTCTGTATGGAGAAGCGGTGCCAGCAAATGCCTGCTGCATGCCTGGCCTCCTGGTCACCCAGCCCAGTGCCCTCAGCCCCGGCTGCATGTCATACTCACAGGCCCATGGGCACCAGCATCAGCAGAAGCTCCCCCAGCTGACTTGACTGTACAGCCAGCATTCACCTTGCACATGGGAAATGGAGGCCCAGGCAGGGGACAGTTTTGTGCTGATGTCACACCTCAAACAGGAGCCCAGGGCTACGATGGCCATGCAGGCCCTGTCCCTGTGGGCTGCTGTTCCTTACACCCACTGCTCATGTGCCTTGTCCCCCTTCATCACTCAAGCTTCGCTCACTCCACTCGGGGAAGCCTGTCCTGATGCCCCCCCAGCCATACTGTCCCCCACGTCCCTCTCCCACTGCACTATCCTCCATCTCCACTGCTATTGTAGGACTAGCCTGGCTCCTGCTCCCAGTATATCATGAGCACGTAGCCGATGTGCAAGGAATGGTTTTTGGATGAAAATAAAGAAATAAGCAGGGTTCCATTCCTTCTTCCATCAGAGGCCCCTGGGGGTAAGACCGCAGTGGGGACTCCAACTCGTGGGTCACCTCTGAACCTCTCAATGCCTCTGACACCTGCTCAGTCTCCTTTGCAGACATCCCCTCCAAGTGGGAGGAGTGTGGTTGGGATAGAGGTGGTTTCCTTTTGGTCTTTATCCTGGGGACAGAGCTGATGTCAAGGCTCAGATGCCTCTGCTGGACTTTACTGTTGGGAAGGGATGGACTGGAAGGTGTTAGACCCACTGCCCTGCCTGGTCTCTCCACCCTGGAGTCTGTGGTTTCCAATCTGAGGGTCACTAGCTCAGAATAAAACTTCGTACCACCCACTTGGATCTTGAGGACCAGAAAGGCTTTAATTTTCTCTCTAGTAGAGAGCTCCACTTGAAACCAAACAACCAACAGCTATTTCTGGAGGCCCAGCCCTAGGCTGGACCCTGAGAACTCACAGATGTCCAGTGCCTAACCCTGAGAAGCTTATAATCAAGTCAGCACTGGCCCAGGTCCATGTTGTAGAAAGAGCTCAGGATTAGAGTTTGGGAAACCTGGATTCTAGCTTCAGCTGTGCCTTTAACTGTCTTTAAGAACAACCCATGCACTGGGGTAAATGCTGAGATCCAGGGGGAGGCAGTGTAACCAAGGGGGGCTTCATGAGGAAGTAGACTCCAGTCCTACCTTAGTTTAGGCCCTCATCCTCTCCTGGCCAGACTCCGGTACTGGCCTCCTGCCGGCCTCCCTGCCTCCAGTACCCTCAGCAGTGTCCCTCTACTAGGCTGCCAGTGTGTGACTCTTCCTGTAGGTCTGAGCCTCTCTGTCTTGCTCACCCCTCGGGAGACCATAAGATGAGGCACATCTGCCACCATTTGCCCTTCAAGACCCTCATGGCTGGCCCCACCCTACCTACAGCCCCACCTATGAACACTCTGCCCACAGACTCAGCACAGGTGCTTGTCTCGGTGACCACCCAACGGGGTGGGCCACCCTCCTTACTGAGGGACTGAGGGACCTCCTTACTGAGGGTGTCACCAGACTTGGCCATCACAAAATCTCTGCGGGTACGGCCCATTGGCCCCATCCCTCAGCTGGGAAGACAGAAACTCAAGGAGGTGAAGGGCTGCTAGTATCTCACCTTCCCTCAGCAATGCAGATGGCACTCAGAGCCTGATGGGCCCAGCTCAGCCCAGGCCTAGTGACTCTAACCAGGCCTACCTGCCTCGTGCAGCCCGAGCGCCACCCCTGAGGGCACCACTGTTGCAGCCGGTGCTTCAGTTCAGCCATGTTAGCCCTGAAGGGGAGCACGCGTGAAGCTCTGGGAGTCTGGGGCAGGGTCTCTCAACCTCCTTGCTCCTGACATTCTGGACTGGAGAACTCTGGGTTGTGGGGGCTGTCCTGCACATGATGGGATGTTTAGCGGCATCCCTGGCCCGTACTCACTAGATGCCAGTAGCAACCTTTCCACCCCAAGTTGTGACAACCAAAAATGTCTCCAGGCATTGCCAAAAGTTCCCTGGGGGTGGAGGTTGCAAAATCATCCCAGGTGGAGAGTCACTGTCTGAGGGTATTATATGCGTGAAATATCTTTGAGGTTCCCTTTTCCTTTTAAAATGCTGAATGATTTTATGTTCCATCTCACAGTATACTGCATTTGTTTCACTCTAAAGTGTTTTGCTCCCAAGTCTTTAAGTAGAATTGATGTTCCGGGAAGATATTATCCCACGGGCATCGCATGGACAGTTTGCAATGGTGGTCCATCATAAACAAGCGAGGACAACATGCTGTGCCTGGCTCTTCCATGAATGTGGCAGCAGGGCTCCTTGGAGAGGAGCACTGGGGCATGCGGGGAGGGCACTCTCTGCAGGCCTGCGCAGGGGGGCTTGGGCCAAGGGACCGCTTGCCTGGTGAAGCCCTTGCCTGACACAGCTATCCAGAGAGCTACACATAACACTCTTCCTCTGTCTTCCTTTCCCCAGGGACTACTTTATCACCTGCCCCGTGATCGACATGGCCAGTCTCTGGGCACGGCAGGCCCGAGGAAACGTCTTTCTATACCATGCCCCTGCAAGCTACGGCCACAGCAGGTAAGTTGGCTGTGCGGCCATAGAGGTATAGGAAAAGCAAGCAGTCTGGGAGGGGTCCCTGTCACTGCTGTGATCTATAGGGAAGCAGAGAAAAGAGGGCAGGACTGAGGCACAAGTCCTGGCTCAATGACATGGGACACTCACTTAATCTCTTTAAGCCTCAGTTTTATCTTCTGAAAAATGGAATAATAGTAATAGCCACTTTATCTCAGGTATTGTAGGCAGGGAAATTAAAAGACATAGAGAGCATTGTAAGCGATGCCATCTGGGGCCAAGGGCATTAATTATCCATGTCCATGGTCTACTTTATCAGCAACAGGAAGATGGGGTGAAGGAATACCAGCTTCAGAGGCAGGGTCCAATTCCCCCTTTCACCAGCTGTGCCCTCTTGGGCAGGCTCCTCTGCCTCTCTAACCTGCAGCATCCTCATCTATCAAATAAGTCTAGTAATTTCCCTCTCAGGGTTGGCATTAAAAATTATCTTGAACTTAAATTATCCAGCCCATAATAGGGCTTTCACCTGTGTTACTTTGGATGGCATCAAGGGAAGTCTTATAAACATATATAATTTGTCATTATAATTGGCAATTGGCTAAATAATGACCACCTAAAAATATCACATTCGAATCCCTGGAACCTGTAAGTGCTGCCTTATAAGGAAGAAAGGGTCTTGACAGATGTGATTAGATTAGGAATGAGGAAGTTATCCTGGATTTTCTTGGGTGAGCCCTAAATGCAATAACAGTATCTTTATAAGACAGAGGCAGGGGGAGGTCTGCCACACATAAGAAAGAAGGCCCTGTGACCACAGAGGCAGAGATTGCAGGGATGTGGCCACAGCCAAGGAATGCTGGCAGCCAGCAGAGTGGGAAGAGCAAGGAATAGATCCCCCCAGAGCCTCCGGAGGCAATTTAGCCCTGCTGACACCTTGATTTGGACTCAGCAAAACTGATTTTGGGCTTCTGGCCTCCAGAACTAAGAGGGAATACATTTCTGTTGTTTTAAGACACCAAGTGTGTAGTTATTTGTTACAACAGCCACGGGACACTAATACAGTCCCCAAGGCATGCTAATTTGCCCAAAGCACCCATTATTTACCTGGTTACCCCAAAGAGATGATTCAAGTTTTAGAGCACTCCACAAAAGCGTTCAGAATCCTTGTGAGGTTGGCGGGGTTCAAACGGTTATGCCTATTACCGATGAGAGCGTCTTCCTCCATTTGGGCTGCTATGACAGAATACCTTGGGCTGGGCAATTTATAAACAACGTGAAAAGGTCACTCACAGTTTGGAGGCTGGAGGTCCACGATGAAGGCACCTGAAGAGTCGCGTGCAATGAGGGCTTGCTCCCTGCTTCACAGATGCCGCCTTCTAGCTGCATCCTCCCATGGTCGAAGGGACGAACAAGCTCCTTAAAGCTCCTCCATAAGGGCACGGAGCCTATTCATGAGGGCTGCACCCCCATGACCTAGTCACCTTCCAAAGGCCCCACCTCTTAATACCAACACCATGGGAATTAGGTTTCAACACATGAACCTTGGAGGGACACAAATGTTCAGACCAAAGCAAAGAGTCTCATGTTCAGAAGTTAAACCTGAACCCCTCAAGGACAAGCAGCTGGGGAGGTACAGAGCAGCCTCTTACCCGCTTCTCTGAGCCTCAGAGCTCTCTTCCCACTAGGCCACTTGGTCTCTCTGCTTAGAACTACTTAAAATTTCAACCCGATCCACCTCCTGGATTCATTCCACTGACTCCCTGCAGCGTAGGGGAGGAAAATCAATGGCAGGCCAGACTCCTGGTGTGAAGGCACGTGGGAGAGCAGGAATGCAGGAGAGAGCCATGTGGCTGGGAGGAGATGAAAGGGGCCTCACCATCTAGTGGGCTGTGGCCACCCACGGCCAGGAAGGCCGAGCGTGGGAAATCGCCCCGAGAATCAGCACTGCCGTTTAGCCAGGGTGCTCAAGAATTCACTCCCCGTGCACTGGTCCTTTTGTCTCACAACCAAACAAGAACCCAAAGGGAGATGCCTGCCTCCCTCTCATGATAGAGATTGTAACCAAAGGTGTTAAAACAGCAAGCTTAGTTCAAGCCTTAAACATGTGCAGGCACCTTTGGACCCCAGAATGTACAGTAGCAAAAAAAAAAAAAAACAAAGGAAGAAAGAAATACGTCTGCTACATGAGGGCAAAAACAGTCAAAGCAAGACAAAAGGAGAGCATTCATGTGCTTCCAGCCAGAATCTGCAGTGCTCGAGCCCCACCTGGGTGAGGTTCACAGGCTGCCGTAACAAAGTACCATAAACTAGATGGCCTAGAGCAACAGAAATATATTGTCTCAAGTTCTGGAGGCTGGAAGTTCAAACTTGAGGTGTCACCAGGGCTTCCAGGGAAGGATGTGTCCCAGGCCTATCTCCAGCTTCTGGTGGTCTCAGGTGTCCCTTGGCTTATGGATGGCTGTCTTCTTCCTGTTTCCTTCCATTGCCTTCCTCTGTGCATGTCTGTTTCTCAGTCCAAATTTCCCCTTTTTATAATGACAACAGTCATATTAGATTAGGGCTCACCCTTAACTCGATTACGTCTGTAAAGACCCTGTCTTCAAATAAGGTTCTATTTGAGGTACCTGGCGTTAGGACTCCAACATACTTTTTTGAGGGGGACACAATTCAACCCTTGAAATAGCAGAGCCCTGCCAAGAGGCTCCTGAGTGGCAAGGACCCAGGGTGGTGCATTTCGGACCTGGAATTGGGGTGGTCCTCGAGGAGCCATCCTTGAACAGAATCAGATCATGTCCTCAGTCTCTGGTGGCCAGTTTGGGCTTCTCTGTTGCTGAATGGCTTCCTCACGCCCCTCCAGGATCCACAGGGATTCACTACGCTGATCCAGAGGCCTCCTGTGAAACAAAGCCACGCTCAGGCACCAGATCCTCCCAAAGTGCCTCCGAGTCTTCAGGGCTCTCGGCACTTCTGGGCCCAGTGACCCTCCTGGCACAGATGGGGACTTAGTAGGTGTTCAGGAAACCATGCTGAAAGACAGCAGCTGGCCTAACCACCTCATTTAGCAGGTGGGGAATGAGTCCTTTTCATTCTACCTTTTAGGATCCTTGGGCTCAGTTTTGCCATCTGAAAAATGGGCGTAGGAGAAGGGAGGTGGGAGAGGTCCCAAGCACTGATTGTCCACTGGGGTCTATGGAGCCAGGATTCCAGGCTTCCGTGAGGAAGAGAGTGAGATGGCAGTGGGGTCTGAGCCTCCCAGCCCCTTTCTCTCACAGACTGAGGTTTGACAATATGTCACAGTGATGCGGTTTAGAACGGTGTGAAAACCACTAGGCTCGGCCCTCTTTAAGGCAATTTCCAGCTCACAGTTTTTATCATTTTTGGAGGAAAGAGACACTCAGAGTTACTGAACCATTTTGTAGTAGGGATGTCGCTACTTGTATAAGGCAAAGCAATGTCCTGGTTAAAGACAGCAACTCTGGCATCAACTACTTTTGGCAAGGAACATGCCCTTGACTCTTATCAAATCAGTGAGCTAAGGCAAATCATGTAATCTCCTTGGTGACTCAGTTTCTTCATCTGAAAAATGAGTATAATAATAGGACCTACCTCAGAGGGTTACCATGTGCATAAGTTTGTATGTAGAACAGGGCCTGGCAAACAGTAATTGCTGAGAGTGTCCAGAGTGTCCCGTTATTCTCGGCCATCAGAATGCATTCTTGACAACCCTCTGTGTAGGTATCTTCTCCCACCATAGTGCAGTATGGCTCCATCTATGTAGTAGATACTTGAATCAGTGAATGAATCACAGAAACTAACTTGCTTACTTGTTGGCAAGTTTATCCTTTCATCTCATAAAGACCTCTGTGTGTGTGTGTGTGTCGCTCTTTCTGTCTGCCTTGGAGCTGTCAAAGTTCTCATCTTATTTCTGGCTCACATCTACATACTTAAAAATATGTGTGTGTAACACTTTCAGCCATCTGTCTTGTACCTCCACTTCTGTTAGCATATATTAACTTTCCTGGCAATAGCTAGTGAACAGAACACAGTGAATTATTGCTTTCTAATGGACTGTTGTTAATTGATCAAAAATAGTGTGGCTTTCTTACTGCCCAGCTGGATTATAGGTGAGATTTTTATTCCTGAAATGGAGGGCAAACTTCTGTAAGGAAAGAATAGGTATAATGAATGAAGAGGAGACAAAGAAACTAAAATTTATAGTGTGAGAAGGTTTGACTTTGAGATTCAGATTCAAAGAATTGCTGACTATGGAAGATGGTCTCATATAACTCCTTCATTTTACAGATTAAAAAAAGGGGTGGGGGATGAAGGAATTGGTAAAGAGCCATGAAAAATGGTGACATTGTGTATAGTTGAATATGCTAATTATCCTGACATAAGCATCACATATTACACACAGGCAGTGATAGTCAACTGTACCCTCAGATATGTACAATCAACTATGTTACAATGAAGATTAAAAAAAAAGTCCAGGGGTGGGCCGGCCCAGTGGCGCACTGGATAGTGCGCCGCTTGGGAAGCGCGGCGGCGCTCCCGCCGAGGGTTCGGATCCCACATACAGACCGGT